AAAATATAAGTTTATACATATATAGTTTACAACTACAATACCTCCATTTCTGTTTGTGCTAAATCACAAGCTGCACCAAGGCCCACTGCTAAAGGTGCTGGAACAGTACCACTCCTCATACCTCTTTCTTGACCACCACCACTCTGAATTGCTTCCACGCGCACTCTTGGTCTTCTTCTCACATATAAAGCTCCAATTCCTTAAAATTCCACAAATAAAAAGATTTGTATATGAAATAGTATCACAAAAATATGTTTTAAATATACCTTTTGGACCATATATTTTATGACCACTGATAGACATTAAATCAATATTCATAGCATTAACATCAATTGGGATTTTGCCAATTGCTTGAGCTGCATCTGTGTGGAAAAAAACCTTCTTTTTCCTATAACATTGATATTATCATTTAATTAAGCTCAAGTCAGTACATTTTATAACATAAAATTTCTTACCTACAAATAGCACCAATTTCTGCAATTGGTTGTTGTACACCAATCTCATTATTTACCATCATGACTGAAACTAGGGAGGTTGTTGGTTTAATTGCATCTTCTAATTCATTAAGATCAATAAGACCATTTGGATTTACTGAAATATAAGTAACATCAAATCCTTCTGCTTGCAAGGCTCTACAAGAATCTAATACACATTTGTGTTCCTGCATTAAAAAAATGATTAAATTATATATAAAAAAAACATTAAAATTCATGACAATGTATTGTTCAATACGCTTAACATACTATTTGAGTTGTCACAATATGATTCTTCTTTTCTTTGTAGAACCTTGCAACACCCTTGACAGCTATGTTATTACATTCTGTGGCTCCAGATGTAAATATAATTTCTTTATTATCTGCACCTATTAAAGCTGCTACTTGCTATTAGAAATGGAACATTTAATTATTATTCTATTAAAGTATAATTCTTTTCAATGAATTTTATAAATTTATATTATATATGATATTAACTTTACGCGCTTGTTCTACAGCTGCTTCTGTTTCCCATCCATACATATGAGTTCTGGAATGTGGATTGCCATAAAAGAATGTAAGATACGGCATCATTTTATCAAGTACTCTGGGATCCTACATCGCATATACGATAATTAAGAAACTTTAGCTTCAATGTTAAATATTATATTGTAATTCATTATATCATATTTACCAATGGTGTAGTTGCTTGAGCATCCAAATAAAGTGCCCTGCCTTCTGCAGGTCCTCTTTTGTATTCATCTGAGATGACAGCTGTAATTCAATCACACGTTTACAGACAAGAATCAATGATATATTATAATTGCATAAAATACAATCCTTACATTCATATTCCGTAATTTCTGATAAATTCTGACTATTAGTGTGCACAGCACGGCATTTCTGAACACGATTCAACAAGTATAATAAACTTCTTGTCGGCCGAAACATGTTAATTCGTATAAAAGCACAAATTATTTTGATTTATCCACGGTTTCCGGAACTCATGTTCTAACCACAAAAATAACCTAATACTTATTGTGTATACTTTTATTCCCAACTTCCATCTAGATACTTTCCGAATTGTCTACTCGATTTCAAATATAGAAATTATGCTTTTCGACCGTAAACGTAGCACACTTAAGAGATATCTTCGACAAACTTGACAGTTACTTACTGATTCATTCGTCGTAAATATATATTTACATTCAGCAACTACGGCATAAAGTGATGCAACACTATACAAAATTTTATCTATGTATATAGTACTTCAAAAATGCATACCTACATTTACAGATATAGATAAAATATATTATTTTTAACATGGAGTTAAATTTATATGGACAGGGTCAATTACTAAAAAAACATTCGTTTATTATTACAGTAAATGTGAAAATTTGAGTATCTTCAGAATTACAAAAAAATAATTTAATTTGCTTATAAATATTGTAAGTAGTAAACATAAGAGTACAAATTATGCAGACAGACAATATAATGTAAAGATATACAGGTAATCACAATTGTAAAATACTGATAAGTATGCCAAAATTATTGACGATCTTTCGATAAATTTAATGAATCGCCCATATCACTAGCTTGTGATTGTTGTTGCTTCTTATGCATTGTGGTCATATCCAACATTCCACCAAATTCTGATTTAGAAATTGATAAATCTTCAGTTCCTTGATATTCATTCGATCGATTGAGCTTCACAGTATCATTTTGTACTTCCATCTTTTTTCGTTCAGTCGAATAGTCTTCTGGAACCGCAGAAAAGTTTCTGCAAGTTTCTGTAGATCCACTAGTCGATTTGAACGGAGATTGAATAGGATCAACCATACCAAAATCATTTGATTTACGTTCGTTCGATTCAATATCTCTTGCTGGAGAAATTTTACCGATTGGACCAAACAAATTCGCAATATTACGCATATATGCAGATGGTGATGGTGACGATGTTCTTGCAAAATCTGGAATAGGAAATCCAGAGAGTTTTGCTAGGTCTGCTGTAGAAAAATTAGCTAATTTTGATAGATCTGAGAATTTTGAAATTTGTTGCGTTATATCGGCTAAAGGGAAATCAGGTGTTGTGGATGATCGTGTTTTATTGATTCCTGTATCGGTTCCGAGAGGATTGGATACTTTTGAAAAATCAGTAGGTGCGAAATCATAATCGCATTTAGCATTTTTTACAGAAACTGTAAGCTCCCCGGATTGAAAACTAGGCATCACATCTGATGCTGACATATGTTGTTTAGATGTAGAGTTACCATCCTTTAATTGTGTGATGGATGCAGTATCTGTAGCTATAATATCTTTTTTAATATTATCTCTGGAAGTAGATGGTTGCATCACAAAAGGTTTTGATGCTGGAGTAATTATAGCACCATCAGGCTTGAAATTTACAGGTGTAAGGAAGACTGCTGCATTATTAGGTGCAAGGCCAACTCCTGGTGGAACTGACGGTACAAGTGATTCTGTGACTGGCACCAATGGAAATTTCATGGCTAGAAATTCAGGTGATGCCCCATCTTCAGAACCAGGACAAATCATTTCTCTAATCACATCCCAATATGAACCGTTCGATCTATTACGACCGGGTAATTTGGACGCTAAAGAACACTTAAGATATCAAGATACTTTAGTATCACTAATTTTTAAGTTATTTTTCATTTTTATGTTGTTTTTCATTTACTTACTCTTAAACGTTCAAGATAAGTGGTATTATTATTAAAATTGGCAGTAAAATCAATACCCCCTTCACTTCTATAATACTCTATACATCTTCTCTAAAATGACAAATACATAAAGATGTATTCAGCTACCTTTATTGAATTATTAACTGAATATAAATATATATTTACAATTTCCTCTAATGTATCTTGAGAAAGGAAATGCTCCTGAGATAGTGTATAACTCAAAAGCATTGGTCTTGGATATTCATGAGGCCGATTTTCTGGAGGTGGTAGAGACCAAAAAACATTAAAATTTGACTCATAACAGCTGCCATCTGTATTGTAAGGTGCTATAATGAATATACTCTTTTAATCCATTGAATATATAATTTTTGAATGTTACATAATAAATCAAAGTGTTTTATCAAAGGAAACTTACAACATATTAAACCAACACATGGTGTGTAACCATTATCACTCGGTCCTTTCATTTTAATTTGATAATCCAATTGAGAATCAACATCTCTAAGAGAAGGAGAAGCATGGGACCTAGGATGAGAATGGTACCATCCAACTAAAGTCACACGTTTCCATTCCATAGCTCTTGCAATTTCGGCTTCAACTGCAGCTGCAGCTGATTTATCTTTACCAGAATATCGACATGGGAAGGCAGTTGTTATAGATAGATCTATTATTTTATGAGATGCAATTATTAGTAATAAAAATATCTATTAACTGCATCGAGCATTAGAGAAATATTTACTATGTGAATTAATGTCCCAGTGACCACCTAAATAGCCACAAACTTCTTTATCTGTTAAATGACAATGTAGATCTACCAACAAAGCTGCAGTAGTTGTTATAGTAACTAAAAAAGGCTGTATTTTTCCAAGTGTGCTAAAAGAAGTAAGTTCTACCATTGTACTCATATCCCTGAAACACGAGTAATCATTAATCATGTAAGAAACATTTTTTTCTATATTAGTCTCTTACATGGCATGACTTCTTATTCCAAGGTTCGCGTGTTTTACTGGTACTCTTACTACTTGTATTGGAGGACTTGTTTGAACTTTCTCAGGGCTATCTTCCATAGGCTCTGCAACTAATGCTGTTTCCATCTTTCTTTGTGTTTATTTATTAAAAAATTAACCTTTATAGGATCAGGTCATGATTACTGACTCCAATCTGTTTCACATTAGTCACTCATGACAGAGAAAATTTAATTAAATAGTAGAAAGATACTTTAAACAATGCATCATTGTTATCATGTTATGTGCGATTATTGCATACCTAACCAATTCTTGAATTTGTTGTTATTATTGACAGAAGAGTAACACTAGTTACAACTTAGGTTATAGCTAGTTACCAAACGAACCCTATGTACTCGATTGAAACATGTACAATGTGTCTAAGTTGGTATTGCAATACATTTCAGAATCAATATCTAGTAATTTTATATTTGAATAAAATTTATACAAGACAAAAAATCGTGAAAAGTCGCGATTTTTCATTTGCTTGTGTCTTTCATATTTCATATCTTACTTCTATTGGAACTTGAAAATATTAGAGTCCGTTGAAATAAAATATTTTAAAGTCACGACAGTAGACTTTTAGTATACCGATTCGAAGTTCCCTTTGTAAGACACAAAATATAATAAAGTGTCAGAAGAATTACTTTAACTTAACACCTCCACTTGATGAGACCTGGTAATTCTGAATTGTTAAATTTATTATTAATAACAAATTGCTCACAACGTACATTTATAATAAAAGTGAGAAAATTACTAAATTGCTGGTTATAACTTAAATTTATAATGTATTGTGTTAAAAAGTACCAATAATTTACAAAAAGTTCATAAATTATCGTAGTTATTGTTAATAACAAATTAATATTTTTATTAACAAATTGCACCCAACGTGTATTTATAATAAAAGTGAAAAAATTAATAAATTATAAGCTATTAAGACGGAAAAATAATAAATAATGGCATCGGTAAAAGTCGAAAATTTTCGATCGGGGCGGGGGACTAGACCGATCGACGGCTATATAAGGAGCGACGCGACGCAGCAAAATTTATTTGTCGGTTCGACTTCGGAAGTATAACACCTAAATTTTCGTTGTGCGCGTGGGGTGGGAGGTCGAAGTGAGGTTGGGGTTGGCTACCCCTTCCTCACCCCACCCCATTAAATAATTTAATCATTTCTTTTTTGTTTTCAGATATTAATAATTTTTCCTTTTTTCAGATTTTAATTTTTTCTTTTTTGGTTATCTTTATCTCATCGTTGGGTTGCTTATGTCTCATCGTTGGCTTCTTTATATCTCATCGTTGGGTCTTTTTTGCATTTGGTTTACCTTCATGGGTCATACTCGTTTCGCTTTCATCATGTTCCCTTGTACTAATCCGTTTCATTTCAGGTTTTAATTATTTTTTTTCAGATTTTTTTTATATTTGAGAATTCGAATATTTGGTATAATATTCGAATGCTTCATCGTTGGGTTGTTCCTTACATTTGGTTTACTTTCATGGTTCATACTCGTTTCGCTTTTATCATGCTTCCTTGTACTAATCCGTTTCATTTCAGGTTTATATATTTTCTTTTTAGGTTTTCAAGATTTCATTCGGAGGACATGGTTGGGCGACGCAGGATGGGTGCATTTAGACCTAAATAGACCTAGGTAGTTCTAAGATAGATCACTAGACTAAGTGTCATGTGCGCGCTATCTGTACAAAGGTAAGCTACCTAACTTGGAGCGAAATATATCAATTTTCTATTATCCTCTTATCTCCCCCGTTTACCAAATAGAACATAATTGTTCTCGCGATAATCGCGATCGTTCTTAAGTACCGACTAGCCTGCGCGACGTACTCCCATGTACTCGACAACGTCACGTCTCATAAGTCATCCTCACGATTCGTCTCCGACACTCATTTCCAGCCATTGTCAATCTCGTCATGCATCGAGTTCCAGGGTGGCCCTCGGGTCACTGATTCTTCTGGAATCGATGCGGGGGTCCAGCACCCTGGTCGTACGCGACTGGGGCATGGGTCTGCAGTTGGACGGACATAGTGTCTACGGTCAGACCACAGGGATGATTCAGTTCTACCCCGTGTGGCAGGGACGCGAAGTGTCTGTCTGGCTTGCAAGGCCCCGCTGGACCCTCGTAACGACTCTGGGAGTTTCATTGGTTCGGGGACTATCCTTGGTCCACGTGTAAGTCTTGACGAGTAAGACAGTGGCTGGTCATGGACTAGGCTCAATCGGAAGGGTGCCGAGGCATGAAGTTGTCTTGTACACAAGGGTACGTCTCGTAGGCTAGTCGGTCTTTCGAATGATCGCGATCTCGTTCGGGCGCGTCGCGATTTTCTATTAGCTTGCGTGTTCGATATTTCATTCCCTAGTTTTGTGGGAACTTGAAAATATCTTAGCGATGCGACAGTAGAGTTTCAGTATACCGAACCGAAACCCCTTTTGTAAGATACGAAATGTAATAAAGTCTCAGTAGAGTCATTTTAACTTAATTCGCTTCAAGTTAGATTAGGGTACCTTTGATACAGATAGCGCCAGCAGGCTGCGCCACTAGGGCGCATGTCCGGGTCTCGTTGCGTAGCCACCTCCTCGTGGTGAGATCTGGTAATTGGTATCGTTATCCAAAGAATAATTTTTGGAAAACGATACCAAGCTAAGAGCTACGCACAAAGTTTAAGATATTTCCTATCTTTTGTAAATTTTCGATGTTTCAGTTAGACATTTGACGATTTTTGGGGCTGCGAGAGGTAAGTGGATGGAATTCTTGGCAATGACGTCATTCAAATACAGTAATAGTTCATAAAAATGTATAAATAATCCAATTTGTTATCAATAATAAATTGTTCATAGCGTAAATTTATAATACAAGAAAAGAATTAATTCATTGGTTATTACTTGAACAATATCATACTAATGTTTAAATGTACCTATAACTTTCAAAGGTGTAAAAATTACTATACTTATTTCTAATAACAAATTGGTCATAACGTAAATTTATAATACAAGTGGAAAAATTATTGAATTATAGGCTATTACTAGTATATATAACATATTTGCGTGAAAATTTAGCTATAATTAGCAAAATCTTAATAAATTGCCACATTTATTGTTAATAACAAATATTTTTCAACGTATATTAACGATAAAAGTAAAAAAAGTTAATAAATTATTAGCTCCTACTTAAACAAGCGACGTATTTGTGTTAAAATGTATTCGTAACTTACAATAAGTTATAAATTAATAAATTTATTGTTAATAGCAAATTAAAATTATTGACAACAAATAGTTTGCAACGTATATTAACGATAAAAGTCAAAAAAGTTAATAAATTATCAGCTACTACTTAAACAAACAACGTATTTGTGTTAAAATGTATTCATAACCTACAAAAAGTTAATAAATTAATAAATTTATTGTAAATAACAAATATTTTGCAACGTACATTAACGATAAATATAAAAAGAATTAATCAATTATTAGCTACTACTTAAACAAACAACGTATTCGTGTTAAAATGTATCCATAACTTACAAAAAGTTAATAAATCATTAAATTTATTGCTAATAACAAATTAAAATTGTTGAGAACAAATAGTTTGCAAAGTATATTAACGATAAAAGTCAAAAAAGTTAATAAATTATTAGTTATTACAGCGGAAAAGTAACTTTTAAAGGAATCGGTAAAGTTCGGAAATTTTCGCCGATCTT